TGTATGTGGTAACAGTGCATTCTTGTCACAACACATGAATATAGATGCAAAGCAAGTCAGGAAAGCATACTTGGAAATTAAGGTTGCTGTTTGCATCACTGTAATAATAATAATTTAAAAAGTGAATCTATAACTAAGACCACAGCCATCTTATTTGTGAATTGATTGGAAGAATACTCAGCAGAGGACAAGATAATATGGGTACAGCCAACTTTAAATATTCAGAACATGAACTTGCTTCTTTGCATTTTCAAAATGATGGTATGAAAATCTAGTAGCGTACGAAAACTAATCTAGCAGTATGCCAAAGTAATTAAAGCAAAGTAAATAATCTACACTGTTCTTATTCCCCACAGAAATTGTTTAATATCTTATCTTTCCAAACTAGTTTTCTGCTAATTCATGATGTCTTTGTAAGACTCTTGCTCTTCAGTTGCTGCTGTTGTTTCCAATGTTATAGGAATATCTGCTTTCCTATTTTGGGGTGATACTTTGGTCACTGTCCAGACTCCAAAAAAGATTTTTCTTGCATGCAGTGAAAATGCCAAGCATAAAGCTAGCAGCTGTAATCCATTTTGGCCAGTTATTGTTTATAGAGGGGAAGAACTTTGCCTGGCTCAAGTGCATGTGACAGTCTTTCTGAAGTGTCCTACTATGATGTTATAGGATGTTTTGCAGTTGGAAACTAGAGACCTGATGGTGATTGGTACAAATCAGAGACAGTTTTGTTGAAGTAAGAGCAGTGTAAGGCTCTTGTGAGGTAGATCAGATTATCTGTCTGTTGGGTTGCCCATAAATTTTGGACCCTGATAGCATCTCGAAGTTCCCCTGTTGCTACCAGGAAGAAGGCAGGATGTTTTCCCCAGGACCAGTTCAAAGTTCATCTTGGACAGTCCTTGGAACACTTCATCTACTTAACTTCAGATGCAATGAAGGACTGCACAATAGGATTATTGTGATACCTGCTCAAAGAAGGCATCTGAACTTAGGTAGATGAATGCTTCGTATGTGTTTGTGTCTGTGTGTATAAGCTAAGCAATAAGAAATGCTGAAAAAACTACAGATTTTAAATCTGGACCCTAGATCCAGACCTTGCACGTCTGGGTGCAAGGAACAACACTCAGAATTCAGAAACCTCTTCTGAAATTCATGTCTCCCAGCTGTTTTTTTTCTTTTTTCTTCTATTATTTAGCCTTTTTTTTTTTTTTTTTTTTTTTTTTTTTTTTTTTTTTTTTTTTTTTTTTTTTTCTTAGTAGGACTATTCTATATGAGAATGTGGTAGTATAGGGCAAGGAACTAGTGAACTACTTTTACAGATCAGGACTTTGCTCATTCATAATGAGGGGAAAAAAACAGTGTTCAATGCACTTTCCACTCTGAGGGGTCGCAAGATGATCACTGCCACTCCAAGGATATATGACCCAAGCACTGAGCACCATCCAGTTTATATGGAACAACCTTGCCCTTTCTTCAAACTGTTATTCTGAGCAGAAATGAATTCAGAGTTCGCTGAGAAAGGAAAGAAAACTAGAAAGAAAGAGACTTTGTGATAAAGTGATTAAGATATTCAAGGAGCCAGACACAGAAGGTGTCCCAGGGATCTGGTCTCTTTTCTCAGAAGTATTTACATGAATCACATGAAAGTTGTCATCAGTTAAAATAAATGAGTTGCTTGGAACTTACCAGGCTTCTGAACAATGCAATGTTCTCTACTCTGTTTTTGCTGGATTTGCTTAAATTTTGTCCAGAAACTTATATTAAAGTTTCAGTCTGCCTCTATGTCTGTATGTCATAGGTGCTTTGAATACTTTTGAAATGTTTAATATGGAAATAATGGGAACATCAAAAGTACCATGGATGGATCTTTTGTACATGATTAATGCCAAAATAGTCCAGTATTTCTATGTAGGAGAGCATATTTCCTTATATTAAATCTGTATATATCTGTACAAAATGGCAACGTGGTTTTACTTCAGAAAAACAAGTGGTGCAGTGGTATGCCTGAAACTTTTCTTTTACATTCCTTTTTGGAACTAATTATAAGAAACAGGTAAGCCTGCAAGAGTAGGTGCTAGGCAACTATCATCCTTTTTGACAAACAAAAACAATTTGGATACTTCTAGGGAAAAAAAAAAGATTCTTTGGAAATTGTTCTGGCAATCTTTCATTTGGGACTTTCTGTCTATGACATAGGTACTCTGAAAGAGGATCATGAACATGGTAGTTGGCTATGAATTGCCCCTTTTGATCATATCACTTTGCTTTTGAATAAATGTTAGTTTGTCGATAATGAATAGTGCCTCTCTTGAGAATTTCTAGGTAGCTAGATAGAGCAAATTCAGTAGAACAGCTAATTTTTAATATTTCTTGACATTAACAGCTCAATTTCTCAGCAAGAATGGGAAATAAAGTTGATAGTGCGTGTCTACAGGGTGAGAGTGTACTTTTCATCAGTAACTGTAAAATAAACTGGAAAGGTCACTATAAATAATATTTTAGCTTAATTGTTCCTAGAAGGGCGACAGTGACTCACTGTAGGTTTTTTGTTGTTGTTCCTGCCCCTAGCAGATAATGTTTTAAAGACTTATTTGTTTAAAACACTTATTTCTATATATTTATGGAGGCATTTTGATGACAGAGCTGTTTTTTCAAAGACACTTTCTGTAAATATAGAAAAGTTCCTGTGCATGTTTTCTTTACCAGCATTTCCATGTACTTAACTCTCATTTGGGGTTCAGTAAATATTGCAAGCTTAAGCCTGCCTATGAAACAACTTCCTGCTTTGTACACAAACTCTAACAGAAACTGCAATCCAGCATGAGATCTGGGGATGATAATATTTGAAGCAAATAGTGGATTTATTTAGATAATATTGTCACTTTTATGGGGTCATTAATAAAGATCTGCCAGAGCTAGCAAAATCTGATTAGGGAGTACAGAGCAGAAGTGTTTAGTGTTAACTTTGTTTTTATTTTCACTAGTTAGGCCACACTCATTTCCTCCATGAAAATTATTTTTTTTTCTGATTATTTTTTCTCCCTACTTAAAATCTTGCCACTAATTAGAAATGTGAATCAGACCAGTGATATTCTTGCAACGTCAAGGATTTTATTTTTGAGTGTGATTTGCATTGTTAATTTACTATACACACATATGTGTATAGTAAATACACAATACTATACACAATATGTGTAGCTGCAGATTTAATGAGTAAAAAGAGCAGCTGGTTCTATTTAAAAGCAGTTGGGTGAAGGGGTTGCACGGTCCAACTCTGCTCTTCCTTCTGCTCACGGCTGAACTGTGCTGAATTTGCTGCTTCTGGACAGCTCTAGTTTGTCATAGGAAAGTAAGTGGGTTTGGGAAACCAGAAAATAAACCCATGCTTGCTCCTGTCATCTCCTCAGCCCGGTAATTCAGTGTGCAGAAGTGTTGGTGAAAATAGCCCTCCTTAGGCTTACTCTGTTGGGTTTCTGAGACAAATAGAGAGAATTGCCAAAGGGGGAGTGGGATTCGAGGGCAGGCTAGCAGCAAGGAGGCCGTGAACATGGAAGAATTGGATTGGAACATGGCATGAGTTCCCCTGCTGTGTCCAAAATGAACCACTGAATAGGTACAAATGTAGATGGCAGGATAAAAATGGAAGCTATTCAGACCAGAAGCAATTAACTTGTATACAGATGGCTTTCTGGCATCCGAAACTGCACAGATTTTGGTGGTTTGCTTTTTTAGATGTCTCGTGGAAGGTTAAAGCCTTTATATGGCCATTTCCAGCTGTACATGCACATAAAACAGATAAGGAAATGAAGCCAAGTGAGCTTTGTGTATAGCTTCAGACTTGCTCACAGAGATAAGCATCCAAAACATTAGTGCAACATCCTGGCCTGTCAAATGGACAGCATATCACTCTTTTATGAGAAAAAAATTACATCAAAGGATTCCTTCCGATTTCATAAAAGTGAAATATGGAGAATTATTAAGTATATGCCATGTTTCCAGGATAAAGCCTAGAACTTGAAAATCCTCAAAAGAAAATTGCTGTAAATATAAAACCTGTGAGTTCTTGAGGCAGCTTTGGTATAGCCTAGAGACTGTGCCTCTGCAAACCCTGGGAGAACAAAGTACGCTGTTCATGTGCTGTGATCCTAAATACAGAAGTGCAAGCAATTAACTTTTCAAAATGCTTCTTAAGCCCGTGCTTTAAAGAAAATAATGATTTGGGGCTGACATGAAATCTACACTCATTTATATTCTGGTAGAGAAGTTTATAAAAAATAATACTCTGGGTGAGTGAAAAACTTTTTTTTTTTTTTTTGTCTTGCATTTCTTCACATTAAAAAAAAAAAAAAACAGCTTGGATTTCCAGTGTCTTATTGGAATGGTTAAAATGTTTAGACTTAGACCAAGTTTTCCCAAATTGTGGTTTAGGTGTCTCTCTGGATATTTCAAGCCAGTGCAGGACCACCATCACTTCATGTATGTGCAACGACCAGGAGTTGTCACTGGAATGCAGGGGACAAGGGGAGCAGTTACAGTCCTGGTACAAATTACTTTTGAATTTTGTGCCTTGGTTTCTTTCTGGTGACACTATTAGCTGAAACAATTTCTCTGTAGTTTCAGTAGTTTCTTTTATTTTCAGTGAAAAACTCATTTGTCTGCAGCCAAGTGCAGTAGCCACCACCTCGTGATGCACAGCTGGCACCTGATGGAGTGTCTCCCAGAGGACCCCCAGACTTTCCTTATCACGTCATGGGCTGTAGGATCTCTATAGGGATTGCTCTTAAACTCTGCCTGCTCCACCTGTGTTAGCACCGAGGTGAGCCTGCAGCTGCATGAGCCATGTGTTTCCTCCCACAATTTATTTCTTATGGAGTTCTCTTCCAGTCAGTTGGTAGTTGGGAAGAGACACCAGTGTCTGACAGTTATTCTGTTGTGGAAAGTGGAATCTAGTATTTCAGAGAGAAGTTTGCACTGAGACATGAAGAAGCCCATCCTGTTATTTCCAGTGGAATGTGGCACCTGTTTACTCACAACTAATAAGACTTCTCTACTTAATGTTCTCTGGGGTATGTGTTTCTCCCTGGTTCCACTCAAAGTGCTTTCTCATGGTTAATGATCTGAATTTGCCAAGCACACTGACTCATTTCAGTGCTGTTTTTCATTATGTAAGCTATTAACAGGTCACTGCTCAGGTGCTGGAAAATCTGTTTAAGGCTAATAGCAAGGTGCACAAGTGCCTCTCCGTGGTGTATTTGCTACCTGTGCACATGTGTGCTGGCTTGATAGTCTGTAGAAAATCCCACGGCAATGTGGGGTGCGGCACCTATTCCATTAGCACTCAATTCCTAATCAGCCTTTCATTAACACGTGCAGCACTTCACCTTCTCTAGGATTTTGGTGCTATGTGACTGAAGGAGGGTGAGAGGAAACATGCTGCTGTATGGAGGAAGGTGTTGATAAGTAAGGAAATCAAATTATTCCCAGGAGAAACAGTTCTTGTGGCAGAGGAGGTAATAACACAGCATACGACATTGTTGTGGAGACTCATTTCCAGTGACTGTATATGAAAATCTGCCTCTCTCTCATGGAAAGTCTCTCTCTCCCTGAAAGTCAGTAACAAGGCTGTTGAGGAATCAACATTTGTGAAGATGGGTCAGAAGATAAGTGGTTGGATACAGGACAGCTGTGGAGAAGAAAGAAAGAAAGAAAAAAAAAAACCCTAACCAACCAACCAACCAAAAAAACAGGAACAGGTTATTTTAGGTCTCAGATTTTGACCACTCTGTTATGTCAGGGAGTAATTAGTAATTACTACCAGAACTGTTCTTGCCATTGCCTCTTCTTGGTTACACTCAGATAATGTCCCTCTGCTTGCAGATGGTTATGTTCACAGCACAGTTTTTTAAATTTTTCCTTCAGTGTACAGACAGGCTTTTTGAGAACTGTTGGATGAATATCAGAGATGGGGCAAGATAGAGTTTTGTTTCTGAATATAGTACATTTTCTAGAAGAAAAAAGGAGGGTCAAATTGGATAAGGCAGAATATCAGAAAACGTGTCTTTTTCTTTTTTCTTTTCATTTAATTTGCAATTTTTGTGACTAGAGACCATTATTAGGATAAACTTTCAATTTATTTATTTATTTATTTATTTATTTATTTATTTATTTCCTTCCCTGAATAATATCTAGGAAATCCTTTTGGAGACCAAGCAGGAAAACAAAGAAATAAAACAGACCAGTTTCACCTCATGCATTTTGGAGGAAGGTCTAGGCTAGGCCTCCCACAGGTAACAGATCAGAGAAGAAACATTCCTCCTCACAGAGATTCACAGCCCAACAGGTAGAGCTAGGGCCTCAATCCCCTTCCTTACTAGGGACATCCTATAGGAGACTTGCACTGGAGGTAGCTTGCATAGGTTAGAAAAAAAATAATTATTATATGTCCTGAGGTCTGTAAAAGCTTTTCAGCATAAAGCAGGGCAGAAATATATTCCTCATAGTAAAAAAAAAAAGGACACTGAAGTATTTATAGTGTTGCAGTATTTATTATATAAGGGGTATATGAGTGGTAAAGAGAATGCAGATTTTGCTCAGGATAAAAAGAACTGGATGAATGATGTTAATGAAAATCTGATGGAAGCAGGAGTTTGTCTACCATGCCAATCTCATATTTTCTGAGGCCCAGCAATAATTTTGTGGACATCTGAGTGAAATGATGGGTAGGTTAAGCCTTTGGCATACTAAATTTGGACTGAGAGTTTGTTATGCCAAGATGGAGGTGGGATGAACCCAGAGAAGATCTCTCAGATCTGCCAGGCTCCTCTTCTCCCTCTGCAGTTGAGAGCAGCTTCAGGGAGTGCTTGAGCCCAGCTATGTTTCAACTGCGCTTTGAAAGTGCCTTCCTCTCTCCAGACCATAGGGCAACATAACACAGGGGCAACCTGAATTTGCTCCATCCAACCCTAGGCCCCTAATCAGGCATCTTGGTTGCTTTAGGCTCCATATCTTTCCCTGTGGAATATAGGAAGAAGCTGAGTCAGAGGTGGGAGGTAGTTGAGATGTGTCTGTTTTTCCCGTGATACAGGAAAACATGCTGATTAATCAGTGGTACTCTGACAGCCCAGCTTGCTCTGTTTATTTTGCTTCTTATACTAAGGATAAGACTGCTTGAATGGCTGTGCTAATAAATACGATCCCTAGCATGGGCCTGAGTTTTACAGCCTTCCCCTGTTATCTGATCTGGTTTCTCCACATCCTGTTTTTTTTTTTTTTTGACTAAGGAGAACCCACATTCTGCTGAGTGTCTGCTGTGATAAGAACCTACCTGCCAAGCTCACTGCCATTAATCATTTCCATATTTTGCTTGTTCCAGCTAACGTCCCTAAACATCATGTAGCAGGGCCTTACAACAACTTCTCGGGTAGATTCAGTGCCCTCATTTCCCGGTGACATCCACTGGTGCTGCGTTGGTGGCCACAAGCAGTGGGACATGATATTTCAGGGGTTTCTCTATGCCGCTGTTTGAGGTGCATTTGAGCCCTGGTTGCAGAGGATAAAAATTTCTTGCAAGGATTTAACTCTGCAGGGATCTGGGGCTTGTTTAGGCAGGTACTTGGTGTGACATGATGAACTCAGGGATGGTGGAAAGCCAAGCTTGCGTGCCCTCACTTGAAGCCTAGCAAGCAAGCTGACAGAGCAGAGATTGCTATGTGATATGGTACTATCAATTAGCCACCTGTCAGGGATTTTCTGTGACTCAGAGAGGTAATGCCTGGCTGGCCGCTGCTTTCTAGGTAATTCCTCCTAATATGGCCCTATGTCCTTCTCTGTCATACTTAAAACCTAATTCTTGACATTGCAAACGACTTGTGTTTGTTCTCGTTATGTGATGCGTGTCTCTGGGATGAGTCAGCTGCACAACTCATCATGACCAAGACAGCTGGAATTATGCTGTGCCATAGAAGATACCAATTTAGTGACTACTATTGTTTTGTCTAATATATGGGAAGTCAAGCATATGTTAATTATTTTTCTTCGGAACAGACCCATTAAAATTTGAACTGGTAGTGTTAATGGCTCGAATATCGCTTTCAGTAATGTGAAAATGCCATGGAACCAACAGGCTTTGCAATCCCCTCCGTGAGCGTGAGATGAAAACTCTTCAAAAGCTGCGTACCAGAGCACGCTTTCCTTTCTTAATAGAGGGAATGGGCATGCTGCATCTCAAAAAGATTATTTTTTTTATTTATTTAAAGATGAACTTTAAAAAGGCCAGGAAAAGAACAGTACCTAAACTTTTTGAAAATATATGTTTCCTAGTTCAGTCATTACTAGAATATTGGCTGCACTCTTTGTGTTTGGCTTAGTACAAAGAAGATAACTACTCTTTCATCTCTAAACATTAAATGTTGATTAATCAAATACATTTCTAGTGAAATGTTTTAAATTGTGTAGGTTAGGGGCAAGCAGTTTCTCTTACCAGAATCCACAGAGGAAGCTAGCTGAGGAGGACCATAATGTGGTATTTTAATTTTGCAGTGGGGGTGGCATTTCAAGAACCTAATCCTTTGAAGTTGTGAGAACTGTGCCTCTGAACCCCATTTTCTGAATTACAGAATCTTTATAATGCTTTCAACATTTAGTTCCCTGTATTAGGAGGGCTTAAGCTGAAAAATTCAAGCCACTTGGGGATCTGAGGGAGAGCTGGAAACTTTTTTTTTCTTTTAAGTGATGAATGGCTTCTTAGGCAGAAAGGAAGTATTATCTAACTGATTGGGATTTTTTTTAAATAGGATATGCCTGCACTGCATGAATAAATTTGACAATTTTGGGCTTAATTGGGTAATGCAATTGCACTCACAGACACTTCAACACTGTGGCAACAATTAATGCATACAAACTTGCTGGGTTTTCCTGTGCAGTTATAGTACTTTTTAAAAACTCATTTGTAATGAATTAGGATCTTATAATTCAGAATGCCAAGAAAATTTTGATATCTTTTATGTACGTGTTTCTAGTTTAAAATACCCTATAATTGTTACAGCTGCTCAGTGTAATATTACACAGTGGAGGAGCATTTCAGGAGCATTTCACTTTGCTGGGAAAGATCTGCAAGTGCTTCACCTATGACCTACAGCAAGCCAATATAAATTTCTGGGATACACTGCAGAAATATAAGGATAGTTTGTGAAGATCATCAGCCTCTTCCTATTTCGTCCTCTTCTCCCTCCCTCGCTCCTGAAAATCCTCCTCCCAAACACAGGATCACCTAAATGTAAAACCTTGGAAGTCCTCATGACAGTACCTTAAAATCTAAAATCTCGCAATCATATGGAGAGCTCACAAAACAACAGATGTGCTGTTGTTAACTGTCTAGACTTAAAGATCAACAATCAGAGGCCCAAAATATGGATTTTAAGGAATACAAAAGGCTTTTCTTTGTTTTCTCCTTTTCCCCTTCCAATCTTTCTGAATTTTAATTCCCCTCAACTTCTGTTGTTGTGTGTGTGAGTGGGTGGGAAATAATTTGACACTGAAAAGCACAGCTCTCTCTGATTTCTCAAGCTGAGAATGTTTCCTTTTGCTCACCCTAAAACAAGAACAAATGCTCCAGAGTTCTTAGCACCATCCTGTTTCTTCCTTCTACTTCACCACCTGGACCTGCAGTCCCTTCTGAAGTAGGACTGTTAAATACAAATGTGCAATATCCTGAGCCCTCAAACGCTTTACTTGCTTTCAAATTATCCTCTCTTTTTTTTTTTTTAAAAAAAAGAAATCTTCTTTTTTTTTTTTGCATTATTTTTCCAATAATAATTGGACCTGGTGAAAGGACTCCATATTAGGCATTTTTGTTTTCCTTAATGAATGAAGAGCAAAAACTGTGATCTGCTGCATGAGACAGTTTGAAATAATGAAATGGAAAAAGGTTCACCCTGTTGCAGATGGCGTCTTAGGGATGCAGATGAGGCGGGGGGACAGATTTTTTTTCCTAGTCATTCTTTTCAAGCTTTCCAAATGTTAACCACAAGTCCAGTGAAATCCCCTCTGGAAAATTTCTGTGAGCCAA